TGGAAACTAGCTAGAAGCCAGAAGATCATCTAGCAGGAATGACACCAAACAAGAACACTTACCAGATAAATTACATTCACCAGGGAACGTTATCACTAAAGATGAAAATGATCAACATTTTGCCAGAAATATAAAAATCTGATGAAGCAATCACCTCTGAGAACAATGATCACAAAGCAGAAATATAAATGATCAAGGAACAAATAGATGAGGCAAGAGAGACCATGAAGAGAAATTAGGAGGAAATAGAATACAGATAGCAGAAACAGGAAAAAGGGTAGAAATATCACATCCATCTCATCAGTAAAATAAAAAATATAAGGAGGCTTTCGAAAAAGATAAATATAGGGCTGGGGTTGTGGCTCAGGGGTAGAGCACTTGCCTAGCACCTATAGCTCTAGGTTCAATTTCTCAGCATCACACATAAATGAATAAATAAAATAACAGTCCTTCAAAAACTTTTTAAAAAATGAAAAAAAAAGATGAATCTAAAATTAAAGTGCACATTAGTGGCAATAAAAAGTATAGTTAATACAATAAGAAACCAGTGGTGGAAAAGATAAATACCTAAACAACCATTCCTTTAGAGGCAAGGCAGACAGAAATGAAAATGAGGGAAAAGGGAATATGGTAGACCAGCCAGTGTATTTCCTTGGAGGGAAGAGTAACTAGAATACAAGGACAACCAACAACAGAAAGCCAAACTTTCCCTAGAAGACAGAACTGTGCATGCTGTGGTCATGGTGTCCCAGCAAAATCAACCGAAGGAGACTGATACATTCATTTGAAGTTCATGAGAGAAATCAATTTAGGCTTACACAAAAATGCATACTGTTCAACAGAGGAACTGGTTATCAGAATTGGCACACTGGAGCGCTGGAGTGCTGGTTAGCAATAAACATGCTGCACTATTACCACACGCACCAGGGACACATTGTAAAACTGTGTTCAGTGCAAGAAGCCACCACGACAAAAAGAACACACTGTCTGGTTCCACTTACATGAAACCCAAGAACAGACGAAATTAAACCATGGTGACACAAATCAGAGAGTGGGTTCTAGGGTGACAGAAGGAGAAGCAGAACTGACTATAAAAGAGCAAGGGCTAGTTAAAGGGTGGCAGAATTTCTCCATATTTTTTAGGGGCAGGTGTTTACATAGGCATAATATGTGTCAAACCTCATTGACTAAAACTCCTAATAGTTGTGCATTTTATTGTATTTTAATTAAGCTTCAATTAAAAAATGTGACGAAAATGCATACTGGGAAATCATAAAATTGGGTCAGCAGTGGACCAAAATTTGTGCACTTCCCTGTCCTTGGATAATTCAGATTGATCAACATGCAGACACTACCCAAAAGATATCAACTAGCACTTGCTTTAGTGAGCATGGCAACAACAACAAAAAATGATTTGCCAACAAAGCTGGCAACACAAGATCACTCTCCTGTGGTATTCCTCAGCAGCTATAGTTCAGAATATACTGTCTTATAAATTGACACTTTTCTAAGTCCCATGGTTCTACCCAACACTGAGAAATAAAGGGTGCTACTGCTTGGCTAGTGTACCCATGTGGAGTTAGCTGACCAATTTCAGAGTCACTTCAGAAAGGTAAAAGCATGTGACCACACTTCAAGTTCCTGAAAAAGGTCACTATTCCTCAAGTTATATCACCTACATTAATGAGTAAGAAGATTTTCTTAAAAGTACAATTTGAAGGAGAAAATCATAATAACTTAAGTCATTACAGAGTATTTAGTTGTTTCTTTTGAGGCGGGGGACCAGGGATTGAACTCAAGGGCACTCAACCACTGAGCCACATCCCCAGCCCTATTTTATTTAGAGACAGGGTCTCACTGAGTTGCTTAGTGCCTCACAGTTGCTGAGGCTGGCTTGAACTCTTCGTGTCTCAGCCTCCCAAGCCACTGGGATTACAGGTGTGTGCTACTGCACCCAGCAGAGTTCTAGTTTTTATTAAATTCCTTCTAAAAGCCCATATCAAAGAAATCAAGATGAAACTGCAAAGTACACAAGGGAAAAAAGACTGCAGAAAATACTGCCAGGAGTCTGGAGATCAGAAATGTGAAATGTAAACAATCAAAGAGAAATGAAAAAAGAGCCAGTGCTGACAGAAGCATTCAGTAACTTTGTGGGGGCTGCAGACTGAACCCACACCTGTGATAAAATGATGCTGACCCCTACCCACACTTGGCTCCTATGTCAAGATCCTGGTTGTGAAACTGCCCTATAATTATGTATGAGGTGACCACTGGGAAAAACTGGATGACGGATTCTTTGATCTCTATATCATCTTTGCAACTTCCTGTGAATCTACAAATATTTCAAAATCAAAAAGTTTTTCAAAAATTGGGAGAATATAAATGCAGAAGTCAAATAAAATAGATTCTTCATATGCATCACCAGTGTTGGCATAACCACAGCCATCTCCCTTTTCCCATCCCCACTTTATGAATACTGTTTTTATTCTCCTCTCCTTGTGAGATAAAGGCTTGCCAGTCTCTGTTCTCTCCTTGAAAGATAAAAGACTTGACCCAGCTATCCCACTCCTTGGTCTATACCCAAAGGACTTAAAAAGAGCATTCTACCATGATGCAGCCACATCAATGTTTATAGCAGCACAATTCACAATAGTCAAACTGTGGAACCAACCTAAATACCCTTCAATAGATGAATGGATAAAGAAACTGCGGTAAACATACACAATGGAGTATTATTCAGCAATAAAAGAGACTAAAACACGGCATTTGCAGGTAAATGGATGGAATTGGAGAATATGATGTTAAGCGAAGTAAGCCGATTGGATGGAATTGGAGAATATGACGTTAAGCGAAGTAAGCCACAAAACCAAAGGCCAAATGTTCTGATAAGTGCATGCTAATCCATGGGGGGGTGGGGAGAGGGGATGGGATCAGTGGAGGAATTTTGGATTGGCCAAAGGGGAGGGAGAGGAGGGGTGGGGGCATGGGACAAGAAAGATGGTGGAATGAAATGGACATCATTATTCCCGGTACATGTGTGATTGCACGAATGGTGAGACCCTACTTTGTGTACAACCAGAGAAGTGAAAAACTGTACCCCATTTGTGTACGATGAATCAAAGAGCACTCTGCTGTCATGTAAAACTGATTAGAACAAAGAAACAAATTATTTTTTTAAAATCGTAGTTTAAGCCAGGCTGGTGGTACAGGTCTATAATCCCAGTAACTCAGGAAGTTGGGGCCGACTCACCAACTTAGCAATACCAACTTGTCCCAAAACAAAAAATTTAAAAAGAAAAAAAAAAAACCAGGAGCTGCCCATTTCTGTTCCCAAGAAACAGAAACTTGCTTTCTGCAAAATCAGGTGATGCTTGCAATGTCAGTCACAAGGGCTAAACCTGCCCCTAATGGGGCAGCCATGATTCTGGCCTGTAAAAGATAATGCTCAAGGGGGAGCTGCTGTTGCTCCCTCTCTCCTGCTATTTTCTGCACGACACAGCCTTGCCAGGTGCCTGACAATAAATCTACTATGCCTGTCATTGCTGTGCCTATGATCAGTCCTGTGCCAGTCTTCTTTCAACCAGAGTTGGTAGGCACAGGAGGGAATGGAGCAGGGCAATGCCCAAATCCTCAGTGAAAGAGTACATACTGTGAGTAATAGGGAAAAGCAGCAATGGGAGTCAACAAAGAGATGCAGGTTAATAAAATTACTAGACTTGAAAAACAAAGAATCTTTTGCCAACCCTTGCAAAAAGATCAAGTCAATTCCAAAGCAAAAAAAAAAATTAGACTAGTCCCAGATTTTCCTTCAACTTTCATAGAGACAGAACAGCAATCACTCTAATAAATAAGGGAAGGTGGGCACAGTGGCTCATGCCTGTAATTCCAGCTACTCAGGAGGCTAAGACAGGATGATCACAAGTTTGAGACCAGCCTGGACAACTCAGTGAGGCCCTGCTTCAAAATAAAAAAGGGCTGGCGTGTAGCTTAGTGGTAAAGCGTTTGCCTAGCATATTCAAGGACCAGGTTTTATCCTCCATACTGGGGGAAAAAAAAAAACACTACACTTAGGGGAAGAAAGTATAAAGCCAAAGATTTAAAACTTGCTAGCACATGTCATAGACAGATGATGAAATCTGTTGGGCTAGATGACTTCTAATGTCCTTTAGAGCACAAAATTAACTATTAAATAAGACGTAGATGTGCATATGAAAGTGTTTCAAAATAACGGTCCTACAAAGAGTCACTGAGGGGCTGGGCTTGTGGCTTAGCGGTAGAGCACTCGTCTAGTGCGTGGGAGGCCCTGGGTTCCATCCTCAGCACCACATAAAAATAAATAAATAAAAGCAGAGGCATAAAAAAAAGTCACTGAAACATGGAACTAAGCTCTCCATTGCTATTTAACTCTAGCCAACCCATCCCACATTTCAGATAAATATGAAAAACTTCATTGGCAACTCAGGAAATAATTATTAGATAAATTTGAAATCCTGTATTTTGAAATAAATAAAAACTATAATATTTTGATTATTTTACTAGTTAGGCAAAAATCTTCATTTATTTTTTAGTTTCTTTCAACAGAGAAACTTATCTTATGTTTTCTTATTTTATCTTACGTTTTCTTTGGTGACTTATATCTTACAAAGTCACCAAAGAAAACATAAGATAAAATTTTGAGAAAAATGATTCATCTCAATGTCACTGAAATAGCGAAACACAGATACTAAGTATCCACCAGAAGTATTAAATAAACCATGAAAGACCAATTATGCAGTTTGAAACATAAATTACTTTTCTTTAAAATTCAGAAAATAATTGTAAATGAAAAAGCACAAAACAAAAGCTTGAGCAGAAAGAAATTTACAAAATATTTACAATGGTTACCTTTGAGAGATGAACTATAAATGGGAAATGTTTCTTCTTTATACCTTTTTCTAATATTCCTACACATAGCACATAGTTATTAAAGAAAAAAAGAAAGAATTTAAGTCAACACCTACCCTGATAAACTTGTTCCAGAAATTTCACCAGGAGAAAAATGACTGAGTGGTGAAGTAGAGGGTCTGAAGCTCTCCTGGTCCTCTGAGCCTGATCCCCCATGCTCAGGAGAGGCGTTTTTCAAATCTATCAGAAAGGTACATTTTCCAATGAGAACAGAACAAGACTTTACTTCTATAAATGTGGTCAATTACACAGGCACTTACCAACATTTTTAGGTGAGACTCTGCAGTGCTGATCAAAAGTCACACGTCTGTCACTGCCGCTTGTTTCACTGACATACTCTTGCTGCCTCTGATTTTCTCTGCTAGCTTGTTTTTCTTCACATTCTTCTAAGAGGCACAGGGATGTCACTATGGGGTTCCTTACTGATGAATAACTATTAGAAGTTGAAGTGGAAATGGAGGCAGCCTTCTCATTGCTACCGATGTCTGGTAATCTGTGGTCAGTGGAAAGTGTCTTCATACCAACTACCACACTCTCATTCTCTCTTCTATTTGTAAGAACTGAATTTGAAGAGTTTACTGCTTTAAATGATTCCTGACTCTCACCATTTTCAACACAAAAAACAGCTGCTGTATTTTCTTTTGGCTCTGTAACAGTTGTATTAGTAGTTCCAGAGTCAACTGTGTGGATGTCTTGAATAGTCTGTTCTTTTGGCAAAGATAAATCCCAAATATCAGACATGCCAGCTCTTGAAACAGTTTCCAACCCACCTTCATGTCTACTGATCTCTGTTTTTGTAAGATATTTCTCCATATCAAATACACTGGATCCATTACTTTTTTCAGAATCATTAGGTACAAAATGAGACACCGTGGAAGAGTCCTCTTCATCGTCTTCTTGTAAAATTTTGTCCTTTGCTTTATTTGTAAGTGCCTTCAACATGGCAGCAAGCTGGGAAGGCTCCGTGCTAACTGAAGCATCTGCAATGGCTGAAGCAATGGTGCTTATTCTGAGTACAGAATCACCACTATCTTGGAGCTGGTCATTGCAGACTGGGAGTTTATTTTTCCTGCCTGTGCCCTAGAAATGAGAAGTTACATCATGTAGATTGACCCAATTCCACAGACTTGTATATTCTAGTTTAATATTTATTTACAGAATCCCCTTTACACATGAGGTATGTTTTAAGACTGTCACTAGATGACTAAAACCAGTGGGCACTGAACCCTCTATATACTAAGAACTGTGTTTTGTCCTACATACACACACACACAATAAAATTTAACTTATAAAATAAGGCACAGCAAGAGATCACTATAGAAAGAGGGAGACACATATAATGTTATGTGAGAGATCTGATTTCCAGAGAATACAGTCTCAAAAATACAGTCTCGAGAAGTTTCAAGCAATATAGACAAACCCACAATGAATAACAGGCAAATATGCTGTCTTAGCAAGAAATGTTAAAACCTAACTGAAAGAACAGCATAGTAATTTTAAGAATGCAAGCAACCTAAACATCCTAATTTAATAAATCTCTTCTACATGAAACACAAAGAAGAGCCAACAGTCACTGTGACAGTCTCTTCAAGTGCATAAAAAATGAACAAATGCTGAATCATCCATCATGTCTTAACAAATTTTAAAGGACTAGAACCAAAATCCCCTGATCAAAGTACAATTTTAGGCCTAAAATCAGTATTTAAAAATGGGAAAATCTCCCAAATGCTTAGAAACTAAACTATAAACTTACAAAAAACTCACGGGCCTAAGAAATTAGAAAACATTAAACAGAATGATAATGAAAATATAACACATCAGAAAATAAGTGTCAAAAGGAAAAAATATATATAAATCCAACCAAAGCTCTGCTTTCAGGGAAATTTGTATTCTTAGAGGCATATATTAGGAAAGTAAGACAAAAAAATTAGTGGGCTATACACTTATCTCAAGAAGTCAGAAAAACAATAAATTATAACCACAGAAAGCACAAGAAGACCAGAAAGTATGAAACAAAAACACAGAATAAAGAACAAATCAAATTGATAATTTAATAAAACTGAGAACTATCTGGTGAGACTGACCAAGAAAAAAGAGAAAGTGGCAAAAAATCAGTATCATAAATTAAAAAGAAGACGAAGTTTAAGAACCAAAGATAATAAAGGATCCCAAGAGAATATTACAGTTTCACACTGGTAAAGGGAACAATGCAATGGGAAGACACAGTGACAGTAAATATTTATGCCCCATTATTGGTGTACCTGATTACATAAAACAGATATTACATGAATTAAAGACTCAACCAGATCCCAATACAATAATACTGGGAGATTTCAACACACTTTTCTCACCAATAGATAGGTCTTCCAGACATAAATTCAGTATAGACCTTTTTTCTTTAATTTTTTAAAGCTATAGATGTACACAATACCTTTGTTTTGTTTTTATTTATTTTTATGAGGATTGGAACCCACTGGCACGTGCCAGGGAAGTGCTCTACCACTGAGCCACAACCCCAGCCCTCAGTATAGACTCTTTAGTCCTAAAATATATTGTAAATTAAATGGACTTAACAGACATCTATCGAATATTTCATCCAACAACAGTATAACATACTTTGTTCTTAACTGTTCATGGTAACTTCTCCAAAACAGTCCATACTTTAGGCCATGAAACAATTCTCAGAAAACAGAAAAGAAAAAAAAAAAAAAGATATAATTCTTTGCATCCTAACTGATCATAACAGAATGAAATTAGAAACACCACCAAAAAACCCTACAGAAACTACATAAACACAGGAAGATTAAACAATACACTCCTGAATGATAACTGGGTAACAGAAGAAATCAAGGGAAAGATTTTAAAATTCTTAGAATCAAACAAGAGTGATACAACACACCAGAACATCTGGAAGAAAGGGGTTCTAGGAGGAGAGTTTGGGTATGAGTGCCTACATAAGAAAATCAGAGAGATCCCAAATAAACAACCTAAGGATACATCTCAAGGCTCTTGGAAAATAAAGAGTAAACCAATTTCAAACTAAGCAGGAAATAATTAAGATCAGAACCAAATGAAATTGAAAATAAAAAAATACAAAGGATCAATGAAATGAAGAGTTGGTTCTTTGAAAAGATAAAAAATGCTGGATAAACCCTCAGCCAAACTAACCAAAAGAAAAAGAAAGAAGACCCAAATTAACAAAATTAGAGATGAAAAGGAGAAATCACCACAAACATCACAAAAATCCAGAGGATCTTTAGGGACTGTTTGAAAACTTAATATTCCATTCAACTGGAAAACTCTATAGTTTTCATTGTAGAGATCTTTTATCTCCTTGATTAGATTTAAACTAATAATCCATTAAACCTAGAAAAAAATGGATACACAAGTGACCTGCCAAAACTGAATCCAGGACACAGAAAACCTAAACAGACCAATAACTAACAATGAGATAGAAGCATTAATAATAAAAAGCTTTCCAAAAAAGACCAAGCCAGAGCCAGATAGATTCTCAGTTGAATTCTACCAGATCTTGAAAGAAAAACTAATGCCAATGTTTCTCAAATTATACCACAAAATAGGGATAGGACACTTCCAAATTCATTCTCAGATACGAGTATCAACCTTATTTAAAAAAAAAGAAAAAAAAGAATAAGGACTTACCAAGAAAACTACTGACCAATATTCCTGATGACCTTAGATGCAAATATCCTTAATAAAATATTAGCAATTACATTCAATTACATATTAATAAGACTGTACATCATTACCAAGTTGTTTTCATTCCAGGGATGCAAAGATACAAAAAAGCTCCACCAGAAGACTTGAAAATTATAAACAAATTCAACAAAGTACTAGGTTACAAAAGCAACATAAAATCAATAGCTTTCCTATACACCAATAATGAATATGTCGAAAAAGAAATCAAACAGTCTCATTTACAAAAGCCTCAAAACATAACAAAAGACTAGAAATAAATCTAATCAAGGAGATAAAAGATCTTTACAATGAAAACTATAGAACACTGAAGAAGTCCAAAGAAGATAGAAAGACCTCTCATGTTCATATAGTTACAATCAGTATTGTTAAAATGGCCCTATTCCCAAAAGCAAGATAGACATACAACATACAGATTCAATATACAGATTCAATGCAATACAAATCAAAATATCAATGATATTTTTCTTGGAACTAGATAAAATACTCCTAAAATTAATTTGGAAAAATAAAAGACCAAGAATAGCAAAAGCTATAACTGTGTAAATCTCTCATAATAAAGAAATGCAAATCAAAACAACTCTAAGATTTAATCTCATGCCAGTCATCAAGAATACAAACAACAATAAGTGTTGACAAAGATGTAGCAGGAAGGCACACTCATACATTGATGGTGGGACTGCAAATTGGTGCAACCACTCTGGAAAGCAGTATGAAGATTCCTTAAAAAACTTGGAATGGAACCACCATTTGACTCAGCTATCTCATTCCAAGGTCTATACCCTAAGGACTTAAAATCAGCATACTATAGTAACACAGCCACATGAATGCTTATAGCAGCTCAATTCACAATAGCTACACTGTGGAATCAACCTAGGTGCCTTTCAATAGATGAATGGATAAAGAAACTGTGGTATAAATACACAATGGAATATTACTCAGCAATAAAAGAGAATAAAATCATGGCATTTATAAGTAAATGGATGGAGCTGGAGAATATCATACTAAGAGAAGTAAGCCAATCCCACAAAACCAAAGGCTGAATGTTCCTTCTGATAAGTGGATGTTGATCCATGATGTGGGGAGGTGGGGAGAAATGGAGGAACTTTGACTGGGCAAAGGGGAGGATGGGCAAAGGTTATAGGGGCAGAAAAAGATGGCGGAATGAGGTGGACATCATTACCCTAAGTATATGTGTGACTGCACATATGATGTGATGCAACATCATGTGCAACCAGAGAAGTAAAAAATTGTGCTGTGATTGTGCACAATGAAATCAAAATGCATTCTGCTGCCATATATTCCTAATTAAAATAAATTAATTTTTTTTTAAAAAAGAAATACAAATGGCCAATAAATTTATTTTTAAAATGTTCAGTATCATCAACAATTAGGGAAATGCAAATCAAAACTGCACCCCGATTTCCTCTCACTCCAGTTAGAATGGCACCCATCAAGAATATAACAATAAAAAGTGCTGGAGAGAATCTGAAGAAAAAGGAACACTTTTACACTGTTGGTAGGATTGTAAATTAGTACAATCACTATGGAAATCACTATGGAGACTCCTCAAAAGACTAGGCATGAAACTTCCATATGACCTGCTACATTATTCTTCCTGAAGAATTAAAGTCAGCCAGCTAGTGTGAGTGATACATGTGACCCATGTGTATAGCTGCAAAATTCACAGCAAACTATGGAATCAATCTAGGTATTCATCAATGGATGAACTGATTTAAAAAAAAAATGTGGTATATATACATAATGGAGTTTCACTGAGCCATAAAAAAGAATAAAATTATGTCATTTGTAGGAAAATGAATGGAACCTGGGAACATTATGTTAAGCACAATAAGCCAAACTCAGAAAGTCAAGGGTCATATTTTCTCTCATATGTGTAAGCAAGAGAGGAAAAAGAACTAGACAAGTGGGCAGGATGAATCTCATGAAAACTGAAGGGAGATCAGCAGAGTACATGAAAGGGAGAGGGAGAAGGGAAGTGCAAGGGGAAAAACTGGGGAGTGACACTGGCCCAATTATACCGGTACATGTATGAATATGTAACAATTCCACCATTATATATGACTATTGCACCAATTAAATGGGGAGGGAAGTCAAAAGATAAATTTGCTGGATATAAGGTGAGAATATTTAAAAAAAAAAAAAGAAACTATACTTTGAATAGTCAGAATGAACAGAAAATGAAGCTAAGTAAAACACTAAAATGTTTCAACAATTCAGAGAGAGGTCTAACAAGAGACATAAAAAATCTGCATGAAGAATTATAAAATACACAGAGATTAAAACAAATAAATTGAAGACTTTAATTTTCATAGAGTTCAAGTATCAGTATTATAAAGATGTCAATTTTAATGTTCTATAGATTAAATGTAATCCCAACAAAAGTCCAACAGGGTTCCTGGTGGATTAGTTCATTGGTGTGTGGAAGCTGACAATCTGATATTAAAATCAGGTATGAAATGTAAAGGATTTACTCTATGGATACCAAAGTTCATTATAAAGCAAAAATATTTACCAAAGTCCTCATGACACTAGGTTGACAAAGAGACCAAAAAAAACCAACAGAGAACGTAGACAAAGATCCACACCACCACGGATATCTGATTTATAACAAAACAAGAAAGCAATGATCTAATCAATAAATAAAGATAACATTAAATAAGTGAAAAAGCAAGTCAAGAATTGGGAGAAGATATGTGAAACACTCATAATGGGCAAAAGGATCCTATCCAGTATATGTAAAGAATTCCCACATCAACGGGAAAAACATTCCACTAGAAAAATGATCAAGAGACTTGAACAGGCACTTCACCAAAAAAAATTTTAAAAGCCCATTTGAAAACAAAAGGCCAGTAAATGTACAATACTCAACTCTATCAGCAATCAGAGAACCACACACCTACAAAGTGCTGTGAGGATGTGTGGTAACAGGAATCAAACACTACTGGAAGGAATCTACACTGGTACAACCATTCCAGAAAAAAAAATGAAGGAATACAAACTCTACAAGCTATGAGTTCCACTCGGTGAACACCTCACAAGTGTGCACACTGCCAACAAAACACAGGCACAAGGTTGTTCAGAGAGCATCATCATATAATTGCCCAATACAAAAACATAATGAAAGTATATCGACCATAGAATGGATATATAAGCTGCAAATATTCATACAAAAGAATATATGGGCTTGTTATAAGCATAAGATGAAGTGAAAACAGTTAAAGAAAAGGAATAAATGCTACATGGTTTCTTTTATATAAAGTTCAAAAGCAGACAAAATTAATACAGTGCTAGAGACATCAGGGGACTAATGAAGGGCAGAGTGTCTAGGAGGGGGCAAAATGTTTTCTGGGCTATTGGCAATGATCTCTTTTCTTTTTTTACTCTATTATTATTTTAAGTTATGAAAAAAAGAAGTTTATTTTGGCTCCTGGTTCTGATGCACAAGGTTGGGGGTTGCACCTGGCAATGGCCTTCTTGCTAGTCTAGTCCTGAGGTGGCACCAGACATCAACTGGCAAGATACAGGGAGTGTGTCTATAAGTGTCTCTCAGTGTTCTCTTCCTTGCCCTGGGGCATGCACAAGTTGTGACCATTAATTCATCAACTGTAGATTTGTTTTATAAAGTCTTTCACATGTATATTAAAAATTGATGGAAAAAAATTAAAGGCATTTGTAATAAAATTGAATCCAAGAAAATAAAAACACATGTGAAGTCGCATATATTCTTCGCAGGTGATCTGATCTCAGACCTGTGATAAGATAATCTTAGCTTTCCTTCAGGAAAAGCGTGAACTACTACCTCTGTTTTGTCTTTGTTGGCCGTTAAAGTCACATCACTTTCATCCACTAGAGAGGTGCCCTCCAGGGCTTCAACCTGAAGTGTAATTGATCCTTCACTTGGCTGTGTCTCGGACTGTTCGTCTAAATCTCCTGCAGAAAACAAAGGATACTTGAATTATAAGATGCACTCCCTCACAGAAACAGTCTGGGATCGGACTAGTCAAAATGATTAATTGCCAAGGAATAATCTTCATACCTCAAACATGGGTTCTCCTTACTAAGACAGCAACCATATAGCCACCTAGACAAAGAACAAACTTGGAAGAAGACTGGATTTTAACTTCTGCCTTACAAATACTCATTTAATTTCACTTAGGAAGAACTGGGTCTGTATATAATGCAGGCTTCATACTATATGTCCAGTCAATATATTTTTAATCAATCAATGAAATGAAAACATTAATTTTTTTCAGCTTTTAACATTTCACATTGATTCAAAATAGGTACTACTTAAGAGAAGTAGGAAATGAACCAACTACACACACAGGCCTTTTACCCCAACACTCCTATTGGAATATAGGCTCTTTAAGAAATGAAGCAGACTTCATACAACCTCATATGATATGTAGAAAAACATATTGTATTGGGGAAAAAGAATGGCTCAATAATTGTAAGTTAACCAAGAAAATTTGATTTAAAATATTTATCATAAATGCTTTTCAGAGATATTTGTCATATTTAGATTACCACAGTCTAAACTTCAAAACACCTTTAACTAAAATTTATTGAAATAACATAATATCTTTTATTCATTAACTTGGTAATTTAATAAGCCAAAATTAACTCATTCTTTTAAAATTATTTAATTTACTGTGGGTTTTTTTTTAAAGGATTTGGGTGAATTTGGGCTGACTCGTGTCTACTTTAGAAAAGTAGATTGAGTAGGAAATATAGGGCTACATATAAATCAAATCTGCAACCAATAATGAAAAATTATGAAGTAGTATCCATGTTTTCATTCATAAAAAACATTATCACACAAGTACTAAGTTGTGGTTTAAGAAAAAAGTTTCCTCTAAAACACAGTTCACTTTATCCGTACCTGAAGACAGGTCCTGGTTAGGATGAGCCACTCCCTTCTCCAAATCACTTCCTGACACATCAGATTTACTTATTAAAGCAACAGGTTCTCTCTTCTCCGGTGAGCTAATAAAATAACCAAATGATGGCTACAAAAATAATTAGACATGAATTAATTTTCCTTAATTTTCAACTGCTTTGATAAATTCTAGACTATTTTATCTAATACTGGTAACACAGCTAAGTGAGTTTGGCAAAACTCTTCTTTCTTCTTTTTTTTTTTTTTTTAAAGAGAGAGTGAGAGAGGGGGGAGAGAGGGAGAGAGAGAGAGAATTTTTAATATTTATTTTTTAGTTTTTGGCGGACACAACATCTTTGTTGGTATGTGGTGCTGAGGATCAAACCCGGGCCGCACGCATGCCAGGCGAGCGCACTACCGCTTGAGCCACATCCCCAGCCCCCTTCTTCCTTCTTAATATCAAATAATTAGAGATGAACTTCAGAAGTCCAGAGAAAACCTTTTATTTCCTTAATACCAGTTAGCTTTTAGACGTTAGCAGCAATAGTGTCAAATAAGTTAACCTTACTAAAAAATCCAAATTAAAACAACTTCATTCTTTCAGTAACTGTTGTTAGCAACCACTAAGTGTCAGGCACTATTCTAATCTTCAGGGACAAATCAATGAGGGAAAAAAGATAAAAATTCCTGCTTCCTTAGAGTATAGGACATTTGTTTTATACAATAAATACACCCTGGGGCTGGGGATGTGGCTCAAGTGGTAGCGCGCTCGCCTGGCATGCGTGCGGCCCGGGTTCGATCCTCAGCACCACATACAAACAAAGATGTTGCGTCCGCAGATAACTAAAAAATAAATATTAAAAAATTCTCTCTTAAAAAAAAAAAACAACAATAAATACACCCTCAAAAATAAGCATTATGGCTGGGCACAGTGGTGCATGCCTGAAATCTCAGCGGCTCGGGAGGCAGAGGTAGGAGGATGGCAAGTTCAAAGCCAGTCTCAACAATCTAGCCAGGCACTAAGCAACTCAGTGAGACCCTGTCTCCAATAAAATACAAAACAGGGCTGGGGATGTGGCTCAATGGAGGAGTGCCCCAGAGTTCAATCCCCGATACCAAAAAAAAATACGCATTACATTAGGTGTATTTCTGCTGACTTGAAATGAGAGCTTTAGAAAGATCTGCATTCAAAGAGCTAGGTCACAGCCACAGAATTCCCACTCATCTTTCCTATGCTACTTTCAAATGACAAATCTAAAACAAGAATTCAGTTTTTGATTGGTCTTCACTTGGGAATTTCTTCCCTTGATCCAGTAAATTTAGTACATATAAAATATCATAACTCATAACTAATAAAAATAGATATATTTTTCCATGATCCAGTGCTCTGTTCACCTGTTTAAGAAGAAATTCAGTTACTCTTCAACTTCTCCCAAAATCTCAAAAGATCCCAATCAATCCAGGCAGGAAAATCCACCTCTTTCATATATTTATTATTTTTCCTTCATCACTCACTGCACAGATGAGACAGGAGGGCGGTACAATTTCAAACTTAAGTTCTGTTAATCAACTGTGATTTCTAGTACTACATCAATTATTTCAAAACTATTCCCTATCTAAGCATTCAAGTCTCAGTCACCAGCCAGTATGAGGTGGAGCCCAGTGGAAGGAAGTTAGGTTATGGAGGACATGCTCTTGAAGGGGACATTGGGACCTGACCACCTCTGGTCTTCCTTTGCTTCTGGGCTGCCATAAGGTGAGCAGTTTCCCCTGCCATGACGTACTGTACTGCCACAAGGCCCAAAGCAACAGGGCCAAACCACCATGGACTGACACCTTTAAAACCATGAACCAAAAATAAACCTTTTCTACTAAATAAGTTGGTTATCTCAAGTATTTTGTCACAGTGACAGAAAGCTAATACATACCCTTCATGAAATCCAACTTAAATACTCTCTAATTACCCTAATTCCCCATGTTGAGTTTATCAACAAATCCTTGACTTTACCTTCAGAACAAATCTTGAATCCTTATACTTATTATGTTTCTGCATGTCAACCTAGTTCCCAATCTTCATCACCTTTCTTCCTGTTCACTAAGCCTCTGCCTACTTTTGTTCCTCTATGCTTCAGTGACTTTCCTCACCCAGGGTCCCAAGAAAGATGGCTGGATTTGAACTCGTGATCCTCCTGCCTGAGCCTCTTGAGTCACTGGGATTACAGGCATGTGCCAACCCACTCAGCAAGAAACTCATTTTTTAATGCTCAAGTTATAAAAATGGTGGCATGTTATTGCACCTGGAGATGGGCCCCAGCACCATGACAGAGTTGCTCCCTGCCTCCAAGCACTTCCTGCTTGTTCATGTGAGATACAACCCCACTCCTACAAGGAACTCACATGACTGGGCCCTTGGAACTGAACATCAACCCACCCTACCTGCCACCACTGGCCCCTCACATTAGCTCTGCCTGCCTTCATCTTACCACTCTGGCTCCAACTTCCAGGACGCTCATGGATGGTCTCCCTTTGTTGGGACCACTGGGTCTCCAGAGCTCTAAGCAGCTGCCTCTTTGTCATCCTTTAAGCGCCTGCTCAATGTCATCCCCTCGGACATCATCCTGACCAGCACAGGTGAAGCAGTGCCTTCCTTACACTCATTCTTTGCAGCAATAATCATTTGCATTTAAAAATTTGTACACGTACTACCTTTTATTAAATCAAAATACTCCACATTTTGAAATATCTTTTTATACAGGTTTAAAAAGTGAATCTTAGAATTTTCTTCCGACCTGTTAAACATACAACGATAGAGACAAATGCCACATGCTGGGGCTAAAGGCTTTCTATGTACCAATGTGTTTACCTCTGTAAAACAAACTCTTACTTTTAGAGTTGGGGAAATTAAGCATTGAAGAGCTACATGCATTCTTCAAAGTCACAGAACTAGTTGAAAGGCAGGGCTAGCGAGGAGTCAGATCTAACTGTGACTCAAAAGCTCAGTCTCTCCATTGTTCTATCATATTCCTATTCTGCCCCTGCTTTAAAGTTACTATGCTCTAGCAATACCATCATGACAGTCAAAATTCAAAGTATCGTTTGTCCCCACCAAAATTCACGTTAAGGTCACCACCTAAGGGTTCTGAGAGGTGGTGGGGGGTCTTTCAGAGGCTTCTGGGTTCTGAAGGGTCCGCCCTCACGAAGGGCCTAGTGCAACTCTTGCAGAGCAGGCAATGTACTGCAAAAGGAAGTCTGGCACCCCTTCCCAGTTCTGGCACGTCTGCTTCTCCTTCTCAAATACATCTCCTTCTCCACCATGAGGAGCTGCAGCACCAAGCCCTCATCAGAGGCTAACCAGATGTAGCCACCTAGTCTTAGACTTCCCAGACTCCAAAATCGTAAGCCAAAGCAAACCTCTTTTATTTTATCCAGTGTTTGGTGTTGTGATAAAGTAATTCAAATCATCCTCAGATGTCAGAGACTTTAACCACTTAAGCATGTTCTGTACTTACTCTTTTTACGCTATTTCCACCACCAAGGCAACCAAGAGCTTCAGATCTTTGTGCAAAAAACTCTCCTAATGACAGACGTATGTAACTGGCATCATCTCTGCCCAGCTCTGATGGGCTAAGTGATTTCCTCAACAGATTATAATTAACTGTAGCAACCCAGGATGTGTCTGCTAGTGCAACCGAAATATTCTGAGCTTCTATGTTTTCTTCCTAGGAAGAAAAAAAGTCATTGTTTCATTCTTTCCCCCAGCAAATCTTCTGTTATTCTAATATGTGAAACTAAATAAAAACAACAACAACAAAATTAACTATGAAAACTTAAAAATTAGGAAAAAAAAATAAACAAATTCAAGCATAAGCAACTACTAAAACTAATGAGGTCCAAAAGAGAGAACTTTTGGTGGGGAAGGTGGGGGGGCACCAGGGACTGAACTCAGGGGCAATTGACCACTGGGTCGCAACCAAATAGTAACTTTTTAATATTTTATTTAGAGACAAGGTCTCACTGAGTTACTTAGTGCCTCACCATTGCTGGGGCTGGCTTTGAACTTGCGATCCTCCTGCCTCAGCCTCCCAAGTCGCTGGGATTACTAGCCTGTGTCACTGCGCTCAGCAAGAAACTAATTTTTTAAATGCTCAAGTTATAAAGTGCATTGTCCTAATATACTGCTTAATCAAACACTGATCATAATGAGCAAGAATTTTTAAAAAGCATACATCTTCACTAAAAGAAACAGGATTAAAAGCTACAGAAACATCCATGAAGGTATTTAAAGCAGTAAGCGAATTAAAGCCATATTTTACTTATTAATCTTTTTGTGGTACTGGGGAATGAACACAGTGCCTCATGAATGCAAGGCAAGCACTGTACCACTAAGCTGCACTCCTAGTCTGAAGATTTATTTTGGTAGGCCAGAGTTCTTCAATTAATAATTGAGAAGGAAAAAGCAAAAACTGTCTTAAGAAAAATAAATGATTCTATACTAATCATTCAAAAAAATGAACATTCTGCCTGTACTTAAATGTAAGAAAAGTTTAAAAATTTACTTTTTGTAAGTAATTACAAACCTGTATAAATTGATGCTCTTTATTAAATTTTTCCTCATCTTGTGCAATCATATTCAATGCTTCAGCTTTAAAAAAAAGAACAAGTTTATATAATTACATTATGCTGGTAGACAAGTAAAAGTTAGTTAGGAAAATGAAATATTGAAGAAACACATTTCTACAAGTAAGTGAACGCTCCCATTCACATAAGTTATGCATCTGTAAGTATGTAAATCTATGATTATCGAACTTTGGATAATGAACACAATACTACTGTGATTATTCAATCACTTACTAATTTGCCCCAATTTGCCCAAAGGGGCTTTATAATGCAATTTTCATGATGGTACACTCCTATAGTCCCAGCTACTTGGAGTCTGAGACAGGAGGGATGTTTGAGCCCAGGAGTTTATGGCCAACCTAGGCAACATCCTACCCAGAAAAAAAGAGAGTTTACACATGCCTATAATCCCAGTGGCTCAGAGGCTGAGGCAGGAGGATCATAAATTCAAGGCCAGTCTCAGTAATTTAGCAAGACCCTGTCTCAAAATAAAAAATAGGAAGGGCTTGGGATGTGGCTCAGTGGTTAAGTGCCCTGTGTTCAATCCCAGGTGCCAAAAAGCACCCCAGAATGTGGACAATTATTTTAGTTTGAAGAATCTGGCATACCTGAGTTTAGGTACTCACCACCCATGAATACACACAGAATTTCACCTGGCACCACCAGACAGACAAACCTCTCTATAAAGTAGTCACAAAGACATCTAAGGTAGGATTCCAAATCACTTGTGTGCCAAGGAACACACCAGTTTTATAAAATCCTACATTCTAGGAAGCCTCAGGGACAGGTGGGCCCCAAGTCCCCACAGAGCACCTCCACTCCAAGGTAAGATGAATGTCAGCCCACTCACAAAGGTTATCTCCACATCAAAGCCTCAGAAACTGGGGGCCAATGAGCAAAGAAGGCCAAGAAGCATGTGATCTTGACAAGCATGTGAACAGAAGGAATTTTAAACATGCTGCCAAGTCTGCCGTCCACTCTGGGCCCCTGCAGGCACTAGAGGGGCTGTGCAGAGAGGAGCAGAGTGGCCCAGGAAGCTGATGTTCACAGATAGCATCAACTAAACTTCCACGGGGTCCAAAAGCACCTCATCACGGGGTCCAGTAGCACCTCACCCAATCCCTGGTACTTGGAAGGCAGAAGGAGCGTGAGACTGCTGTGTTCATTTCCCTAGTTCTTTCACTGTCCCACCCTGTGCCTGAACACTTCGCCCAAGATCACCTTCTTTAGCAACTCTCCAAGGTTCTTACCAAAGTATAACTGCTCTCTCTTTGCCTTCTGAGGCCTAGAGGTAATAATAGCTTCTTGCTGCTATTATCCCAGGGATACACTTCCTGTGATGAACTTTATTAACACTGATCATTCCTTTGTAAGTAATATCTTTGTTGAAGTCACTCCCATTTCCAAGTTCCTACTGGGTCTTAGGTAATATACTTTCCTATGTAAAACATGAATACACCACAGTAAATCTCACCACCCACAGAACTGGGATCCTAATTAGAATAAGATATATTCCATACTTGTATGGAAAAAATAATATATAATATACCCTATTAACCAGAAGGAAATCATGTTTTTCAAGGCACTAATCTTACCCTTAGTAAATCAAAGGGAGTTCTATCTGGAGACCTCAAACCTGGGAGGAGACAACAATGAAAATTCACATGTACAGACAGTATTATCCGTGAATGGAATAATATCCTGTAAACTTCCATGATTTTTTAAATTGGAGATAAGTGCCTTAGTGAGTCACAAAATAAGATTTGGAAATGTCATGAAGTTCATTAAAAAAAAAAGACGGAAGAAGGGTGCAGAGTGAAGCCAGAAGGAATAGTCCCTGCATGGCCTAAACAAGGGAGATACTCTCCACTCTCAGATGGTCATCAGGGACTAACTAGATCCAAACTGCCCCTTCAGAAACCTGGACCATCTATATTCACAACCTGAGAAACTCAGGGTAATAGCCCCAGTCAGGAAAAGCAGAGTACCACAGACAGCGTAAGGTCCTCACAGAGAGAACAGTCCAGTGCCCACAGGCACTGTGGGAAGCAGTCACTTCTCACTCAAAACACATTCTTTACCCAAGGGCATTCGACCTATGGCACAGCCATCGAAATTACACGCAAAACAGCCATTCCACATAAATATGTTCTGTGGGACTCCTGTGGACCTCAGACTCAAATAAGCTAAAACTATGATCATTCATATGAAAGTTCAACCAACCAGCTCCAACAGCCAAGAGAAGGAAGGAGGAAACTCAGTCTCTTAAAAGGTCACCCAGAAAAAAGTTAATTTACTCAAGTGTCACATGGTTTTTCTTTTATTTATTTATTTATTTTTTACCTTTGAATCAATTGGGATATAATTTCTCATTTATGGTTTTTCAATCACTGGGCAGATAGCTCAACTGGAAGGGACTGTTGAGAGTATCCTGTTACTTTAGCTGCTCATCATCAGTCAGTCACAGATGTTACAGAAGCAGAGTTTCGTTTCTTATAGGAATCCTTGCTCAATTATGTGCCGAGCCTCGAACTAACTGTCCTCTCATTAGTCGCCTGAAGCCTTCACAGGCTGGACTTTAAAACAACCGTGTGCTTCCCCCAGCCCCAGTGCTTAAATCTTGGCGGAAGGCAGAAGTAATGCAAAACTCAAGGCCATCAGAGAAGGGGCGGGAAGATGGGAAAGAGGCTCATTTCTCTTAGGTAACTCTTCTGACGAAAGTCCATAAGTAGGGAAGTTTTATGAAATTGAGCCCTGGATCCAACCTTTATGCTCTGAACATCACCTTCTTTTACATTTAAGCAATTTCCCCCTCCCTTCCTATAAAAAGGCTGCTTCACCCTGTGTGTTTATCACATACCATTTGTGCAGGAGTGCCTGAGAATGAATTCCCCACGTGGAATGGCCTGGTTGTTTGGTGTGTGTATTTGCAACTTTGTTAGATGCTGCAATACTGCCACTGCTAGGGCACCAACAATGGGCTAGAATACATGCTTCCCTCACAACCTTGCCAACACAGTGTTATTACCAACCTCTGGGATTACTGCCAATAAAATAAATGAAAAATATTATCATTGAGTAAATTTACACTACATTTCTCTCCATGAGTAAGAATGAATGTTTTTGCACATCTGAAAACAATTTTAATTTCCTTTTCTATAAACTGTTTATAACCTTTATACAATTCTATATTGAGTAGCAGGTGTTTTTCTTATTGGATTTTTGAACTATCTACGTATTAAGGAATTGGCCTTTAACCTATAATATAAATTGCAAATTAAATTTTTTATAGTTAGGGCTGGGGATGTGGCTCAAGCGGTAGCGCGCTCGCCTGGCATGCGTGCAGCTCGGGTTCGATCCTCAGCACCACATACAAAGATGTTGTGTCCACCAATAAATAAGAAATAAATATTAAAAAAAAATTTTATAGTTAAATCACTAATTTTTAAAAACTTTGCTTACTATAGGGAGAGGAAAAGAAAAATGGGAGTGTGGGGGAAAATCCTATGAAAATGAAGGGAGATCAGTAGAGTAGAGGAAAGAGATAAGGGGAAATGAGGAAGGGAGTGAAAGGGGAAATACTGGGAATGATTACTGGCCAAATTATATTGTTTTTCTATGCACGTGCGCAAATATGTAGCAACAAATCTCACAGTTGTGTACAACTACAATGCATCAATTTAAAAAAAAAATTGCTTACCAAAGTATAATATACTTTGGTAAGTATAATATACTTTGGTAAGTATACATCCTACAATATACTTCATAAGTGTACAATCTTATTAATTTTTACACTCTGTCACATCACATCACATGACATTATAGGGTATTAGTTAACCTGCTGATAAGAACTAGGGAGCTTTCCAATATGGGGGCTACTACAATCCATGCTGCTATAAACATTCTAGTGGGTGTTATCTGGTTAATAGATACACCCTATCTGCTAGTATATTCTTGGGTTTTGAATTTTTAGGTCATGTAGTATGAAGTTCATAAAGTTCACCTTTACAAGATACTGCCAAACAGCCTTCCAATATGGTAAATCAATTTATATTCCCAACAGCAATATACGAGAAGCTCATGAATTCTGACTTTTTAAGTGACAAAATAAATATTCACTGCTCATGCTCTGTCGTCGTTGTTCTTTTTATTTTTATTTTAAATATTTATTTTTTAATTATAGGTAGACACAAAGTCTTTATTTTATTTTATGTGGCACTGAGGATCAAACCCTCATGCATGCTAGGCAAGTGCTCTATTTCTAAGCCACAACCCCAGCCCTCATTGTCCTTTTTAAATCAAGATGTACTGACCAAGTCCAACTATAACTTTCCTACAGATTTCTAATCCATACTTCCAACTAGTAAATACCTCCATCTCAAAACACAATAGCAAAAACCAACAATTTCTTCTGATATCCCCATCTCAGTTAATGGTATTGCCATTTTCCCAAGCAACTCAAAACACAATCCTCTCTTTTTATGCCTTTCTACCATCTTCTGAAATCTAGCCACCAAATCCTAATTGCTCTATTTCCATGTCTTTCATTAACTACTTTGTTCCATTTCCCATTCAACCAATCAATACTTCCAGAAGATGGCTTACAGAGCCAGTTAAGAGGAGCGTCTGGTCCTATTGCTTACCACAGAAGTGAAAACTCTCTGACACCCTGGCCCTGCCTGACCTCTTTTGTTACTCGCCCCTTATTTTGGCCTGAGTGTCAACACACTAGACCATTCACCTTCTCAAAAAGTACCCAGACTGTACCAGTTCAACTTGAGTTTTTCCTTCCTTTTAGAATTTTTTAATGTCCCCAGATGACTATCTATTGTAACTGTACCACAAAATGATCTCTATGAAATCCTTTTGCTACCCACTCATGCAAGTTATTTCTCCTCTAAACTTCAAAGGCATTTGGTTTGTGTCTGTTATGCTGCTGTGTGTTTTATATTCTTAAATTACCCTTTCCAGCTGACAGTGTCTCAAGGGCTGACATACCACATTATTCAACTGTACTGCTGCATTGCTGGACCTTTAGGAGAAGCTTGGCACAGGCAGTAGTCAGCATACTTGTTCCTCTGTTGCCTGGGAGACTACCAGACTACTGAAAACAAGTTGGCTTTAGAGGCCACTGAGTGCCTCTCCTCATACCAGCTGCAGAGCTGCTAAGGCACCGAAGGTTGCAGCATAGGGATGCGTTCCCAGGGTGAGGTCGGACCTGTATCTGCAGACCTAAACCCATACATTTCCAACATCAGAGGGTATGTAACCAACAACTGCTTCTCTTACTGCTCCTATCCTCTGAGATTTCATTTATCTTTTTTGTCATTTCCATCATTTTCACTGTCATTTCTTAAGTTTTTATCCAAAATGGACTCTGCTGTTGGTAACTGTACACTTATCAGAACATTTCTTTTGCTCATGACAGAATTTAAAAGTGACTACGTAAGCCTAAAGTCTTTTTCAGCCCTACAACCCCACAGGTCCTAAACAGAAGTAGAAGCGTGCTAGTCTGACCACTGTGCTTGCTTGAGGAGGTGGTTAAGCCTGACCAGCTCAAGCCTTTGTTCCTATAAAAGCCAGTGAAGCACGTGCACAACACTGCTAGGTTTCAGAAGGGGTCTAATGTGATACGGCTAATCAGCATACACAGAGTGCTCTCAGAACACCACCAGAAACAACACAATGGGCACAATAAAAGGGGCTGTCAAATATACTTACAACCAGATCTGAAGTCTTCATTCATCTCATCAGTTAGAGAAATATTCACATCCTGTTCGTTATCAAAAGATGTGTAATAGGCAAGGTCAGTGACCCACTTGCCCTCCTCGTTTTGATAGATCACACTCTGTAGGAGATCCGGTTCTAGAAAACAAAATCCCACACAACACATGCAGAACTGCAATGGTGAATCCATCTCAAGTAAGTTAACTGCTGTAGTCACAAGGAGTATTGAAGTCTGCCCTTCTTCTCAGAAAGGGAACATCCATCTCCCTGATGGCGGGAGTCAGCCTCACTCACAAAAGTCCACAGTGGAAAATGAGGGTAAAGGAAAAGGGGATTAGGACCTCTCCAGGCACCTGCACAAGAGCTCTGATTCTGCTCACAAATATTATTTCTAGGAAAAATCCTCTAATATTGGTATATTTAAAAAACCTTTAAAATCCATTAAACATTTACATACTTCAATATGAAAGACTGGAAAGTCCAACATAGAAACTTAACCTATTAAAAATGCATAGGGCTGGGGTTGTGGCTTAGTGGTAGAGCACTTGCCTGGAACGCATGAGGCAATGGATTCGATCCTCAGGACCACACAAAAATAAATAAGTAAAATAAAGGTACTGCATCGAACTACAATTAAAAAAAATATTTTTAAAAAAGTGTAAACATCTTACATGTTTCTTTAATTCTATTCAAAAAGATAAAAGAGTCCACTTACGGTCTTCATTCTTTTCAACAGACTTGTAACAGTCACGTGTTCTCCTGTCACAAGTTGGTGACCACAGAATATCAGTGGAACTAACTCCATTGTCACTGATGGGCTTCAAAGATGCTATGCAAACATCTTTTTGAACGGACATGGTAGAATTCTCTGTGTCTAAGCATCCATCTGTGTGCAAAATTGTTTCTGAATCTGATGCCATGTGCTTATTTTGATAAGGAACCATTGCCTGCTGATTGACGGAGTCAGTCAGATCAAAACCACTGTTATGAGTAGTTTTGTCAGAAAGACAAACAGGGTTAAGTTTCTCATTGGTAGTGCTGACAGTCTTCATCAGAACATCCTCTCTTGCACTTTCCTTTAAAAATCAGGGACAGAACAGAGTTTTTCAGAACTCATTTTATAATAGTATAGGAAAAATTGTACCTTTGATATAAAATTATATGAAGGAACAGCTTATATGTATTCACTATAGTCTATATATGAACCAATGTTAAGCAATTTACCAAACAACTTTAAAATGTGGTCATGGCAAAATAACATCAACAGATTTAGAAGCCAAAAGTGGATCCTCGCCAGGCACAGTGGCACATGCCTGTAATCTCTGCAGCTCGGGAGGCTGAGACAGGAGGATCACGATTACAAAGCCAGCCTCAGCAACTTAGAGAGGCCCTAAGCAACTTAGCGAGACCCTGTCTCTAAATAAAATACAAAATAGGGCTGGGGATGTGGCTCAGTGGTTGATTGTCCCTGAGTTCAACCCCTGTATTAAAAAAAAAAAAAAAAAGTAAAGTAGATCCTCTGTCTTGTTACATTACAGGACAATAAAACTGTAAATCTGACTTTCGTAGTTACCAATAAGTCTCTATAGGTGTGGCTAAGTCCTATATGACCAGTCTCGTTAATATGAATAAAAACCAATGAAAACACTCATTAATATCTTTTAATAGGAGCAAAACATCAGGTACTATAAATGCCCCTAAAGAACCCAATAATAACTGTATCAGTTAAGCCAGTGACTTAAAATTATGATCTCCAACACTTTCCCAAAATGCCATTTATTCTTTTCTATAATTACAATCACTGAAGAGAGGCTCAACTGCCTGTAATATTATTTTTAGACAGTCAGCTACCACCATGATCTCAAATGCCAATGAAACCTGTAACAATAGTTCTTGTTATAATATGATGTATAATAACAAAACAGTCTGATCAGCAAAGTTTCAAGTTAAAATAGTAAGAGGGGTAGTTCTATATAAGAGAATACATGGTGAGTTTGGAAGAAGAAAGGTTCAACTGTTAGCGCTGTCACTGAATAACTGAATGAATTTACAACATTATTATACAAAATAAAATTACCTCTCTACCCTGTATCAAAACAAATTCTACATGATTTAGATGTAAAAGTATAGGACAAAATCCACATAAGTTTTCCATTCATTAGTAGACAGCAGTTTCTAACATAATACTATAGTATTTTGAACTGTGTTCCCCGCAAAAGATATACCCCAATCCTAAACACAGAACATGTAAGCCCTGACCTTATTCTGAAACAAGGTCACTGCAATGTAATTAACCTAAGGATCTTGAGAACAGATGATCCTGAATTTATCATGGGCCCTAAGTACAAAGACCAATATTTTGATAAGAGAAATGAGAAGAAAACTACAGATACACAGAAGCCAAGTGAACACGGAGGATGAGTGCAGGATGCCATGTTAAGGCAAGGAATGCCAAGGGCCACCAGAAACTGGGAGGGGCCTGGAGGACTCTCCTCTAGACCCCCCTGAAGTGAGCACTGCCCTGATAAGACTTTTGGCCTCCAGAACTTGAGGGGACACATTTCCACTGTCTTAAGACAGCAAGACTGAGGCAATTCACTCTGGCACCCTGAGGAACTAACACAAATACTGAAGTCCAAACTACATAAACATCACTATATTTCCATATCACAGAGACTTTATAAAATCAGGAAAATATTAATCCTCCAGAAGGGAAAAAACAAAGATGATCAGGAAATGACACTTAAAACTAGATAACTGCTTTTCATATATGATAAGAGCAAAGACTTTTTAAAAAAATGTAGAAAGGGGCTGGGGTTGTGGCTCAGAGGTAGAGTGCTCACCTCGCACGTGAGAGACCCTGGGTTCGATCCTCAGCACCACATAAAAATAAACAAACAAAATATAGATATTGTGTCCATGTATAACTAAAAAAAAAAATTTTTTTTAATGTGGAAAACTAGCTATCTTACCCATGAAACAACTTAAAAATAATCCTGACTATGTAATACAGGTATGATTTCCAGTTTCTGGATCTGCATGTTAGGAATACCAACAAACTGACAAATCAACAGTGTTAATACCACACTAACAAGACATGTCATACTGGATCTGTGAGAGAAGTGAGATCCCAAGACAGAATGACTGCCTCCAACCTGGAGAAACTGTCAGGCAGAGCGAACACACATGCTGAAGCACAAACTCCTGAGCAGAAGCCTCCACAGCAATGAAGACCTGCACAGAACACCTGAACGGCAGCTGAATTTGCAGGCTCAGTGTGGATAAGCCTCAGAGGTTTTGAAAACTCCAGGGGACCCTCTCACAGGGGGATTCCCACACTTTTTTGAATTTTACTTCCAGCAGCTCAACTAGGTTCTCAAAACAAATATTGGAGAAAAATCCCTCAGGCTTCTGGCAAGAAGGGAAGAGGAACCTTTTTTTTAACAGAGTTACACCTCAGGAAAACCAGTTACCAGAACCTAACCTGCTAGGGTTTTCTCAGAGCCTAACTAACTTGGGAGAAACTCCAGCTTCCTCTAGCCATCTTGTTGAGAATGAAGCAGAGGAAAATAACTGAGAATCACCTGTAAAATCCACAGCCCAGAGGTACAAGCACTCTAAAACACAAGACCTAATTGTAGAATGGAAAGCTCCTGTCCCCAACACCTACAAACAGCAGCTCTTTTTGATTTTTCATGCCCAGCTACCAAGAAAAAAAAACTACAAGGTATACCAAAGGGCAAGAAACACAGTTTAGAGGGGAAAGAACAAAAAGCAGAAGCAGAGAAAACAGGATGATGAAATTACCAGACCCAAAATTCAATTATGATTATGATTAATTATGATTAATGTGCCAAGGGCTGCAATGGATAAAATGGAGAGAATTTCCAAGTTGATCTATACCTCTGATGTAATCCCAACTTTTGGATAACGACAAGATGATTCTAACATTTACATGGAAAGGCAAAAAACTCCGAATGGCCAACACAGTATTGAAGAATAAGAATAAGGTGTGAAGACTGACACTACCCAACTTCAGGACTTACTACTATAAAGCCACCGGAACAAGACAGTGTGGTACTAGTCAAAGACTAGATCACATGTCAACTCAACAGAACAGAGGGCCCAGAAGGAAACCCACGAAACATCACCAACTGAGCTTTGACAAGTGAGCAGACAATACAATGGAGCAGAAAGTCTTTTCAACCTAAGTGTTCATCAAAGGATGAACAGATTTTTTTTTAAAATGTGGCAAGTATTTAGAATGCAATATTAGTCTTTAAAATAGAAAATTCTGTCATTTGTGAAAACATAGATGAAGCTGGGAGACATTAAAATGTCTAAATGAAGCTAGACACAGAAAAAAAACTGCATGATCTCACTTACATATGGACTCTACCAAATTCAGACTTATAAAAGCAAAGAGCAGAGTGCTTTTACCAGAGGCAGGGGAACATGGCAGAAGGAGATGGTGTGGAGCTGTTTGTTGGTCAAAGGGTTCGAGGTTTTAGTTAGACAAGAAGAATAAATTATGAAATCTACACTGAATAATATATATATTATTATTAACAATATTATATCAATAAAAATGTAATATAACATACATTTCAAAATAACCAAAGGAGTAAACTTCAAATGTTTCACCACAAAAAAAGGAAAAGTGAGGTAATGGATATGTTAATAACTTCAGTTTATCATTCCATACTGTATACAGATATTAAGCCAGGTACAATGGCACGTGCCCATAATCCCAACTAGTAGAGAGGCTGAGACAAGAGGATCTCAAGTTCAAGGACAGCCTTGACAACTTAGCAAGACCCTGTGTCACAGCAGAAAAGAAAAAGTGTAGCTCAGTGGTAAAGCACCCTTGAGTTTAAGCCCCAGTACTGAAAAAGCAAAAGAAAACAAACAAAAAAAATAACAAAACCTCACACAGTGTCACATAAATATATACAATAATGATTTGTTTATTAGTATTTTAAAAATTTTTAAGATAAAAATTCATTTACCAAAAAAAGATGCACATCTGGCACATAAGCACATGAAAAGACGATCCTAAAAAAATGCAAGTTAAAGCAATCAGGTACCATTACACACTTTATTAGAGTGGCCAAGCTCCAAAACATGAACTCCACAAAGTGCTGACAAAGACATGGAGCAAAAGGAACTCGAATTCACTGCTGGCTTGAGTGCAGCATCCAGTCAACATGCTCTAGGGCCAGACGACAGGCACCTCCAGGCCATCAGTATGAGACAGGGCACAGAAGACAGTACATTAAAAAAAAAATTAATGTGACAAAAGTGTGGTGTTGACAGGCAGGACAGAGCACTAGAAACAGTGTAAGTGGGGCAGTAAATCAGATGGAGGTAAAGGAATGAAACAAAAAAGAGTAAGTCTAAGACAGGCCAGGACACACCAATGGGTGCCAGTCTTCTGGACTCCACCTCTCTCACAACAACAACCCCATCACTCGCTGCTTTGATGCAAACAAAGGATTAATGTGAGGAGAAATGACCATCTCTTTCTATATGTAAGCAAACACACTCCCTCTATATTAAAAACCACTGAGCAATGCTGAGGCATACATGTTACTAAAGAAGAGACAAAGAACAGGCAAGAGTCCCGAAGTAGTGATCTGTTTCAAGCACAGGAAAAACAGGGTGCCATTAACTAGCAGGAAAAGCTGAAACTATGAAACAAAGATGTTGAGTAAGGTAAAAGATGATCAGTTTGCTTTTTACTTAATGGTTACATATTGGGCTAAGGAACTCAGCAAATGCATCTAAGTCAGTAAATGTTTAAATATAAGAATACATACAATAAATGTATATTTACATAATCTTAGTGATACAGATATCTACACACACACATACACACACACACCAACATCATCAAGAGTGATTCTGATACTTTATCTTTTTCAAACACCAACAATAATTGTTTCTTTAAAACAAAATGTAGTAGGTGCTGGGACTGTAGCTCAGTGGTAGTGTGTTTGCCCAGCGGTAGTGTGTTTGCCCAGCACATGTGAGGCACGGGGTTCAATCCTCAGCACAACATAAAAATAAACAAAAAAAAATAAAATGACTTTTAAAATGTAGTACATACAAACACAAAAGACTCCTTATTGTTTTCCATATGAATGAAAATAAATATATAAACTTACTCTGCTATGATCTGGAACCATACCCTTCAAACCTTCTACCTTCTCCTTCTCATTTTTCCAGGAATTACAGGAATTACAGGAAAACAGTAACATACCATCTACATATCTTCTGCTATCTCTAGTACCTCCATAGTTACCTGAAATAAAAAAAAAAGATCACAAAGCAATGTCAACATTTTAGTACTCTAACATAACTGCTTCTTGCCAATCCAATTACTTTATGTGAACCTAATACTTAGCATTCATGTGACAAGGTTAGCAAACTGCAGCAAGAGAAAATAAGCATGGAAAGGCAATAAACAGGACAAGCTGCCACCATACAGAGAATCAGTTTCCAATTCTCAAATGACTGAATATCATCATTCATAACAGTGAATCCAAAAAGTACATACTGTGGTATTTCTAACAGCACCAACTTAACAAGGTATTATTTTTACTTTTAGTGTCTCTTTAACAAGTAACTATGTTAAAAATAATTTTTTTTAAAAATCTCATATTTAACAACATACAATACAAAACTACTCAGGAGCAAATTTAACCTGGGAGATGAATGATACACTAAGGTATTACGAAAGCTCTTTTAAAAAGTTTTAGACTATTCAATGATTTGAGGGAATAGACAGTAAATATATAATAACTCAAAACAAAGCAATGATTTTTTTTTAAGATAGTCAACACAAAATTTAAAAACAAAGGAATCATATTTCAACACTCACTGGTCCCAGGTGAGCAGACAACCCAGCCTTCCTTGCCCTCTCCATGAGTGGTTGCAGAACTTCTTGAAGAATGTGAGCCACAGGAAACTGGAGAGCTGTTATTTTCTGACTGACACTTGGAGTTTGAGCTACTGTTTTCATTTGCCTGTTGAAAGAATATCTTAGCTGTATTAATTTTTTAAATTAAAATTAAACATTTTGAGGAGGAAAAGAGGGGGAGCACAGGAGGTCTGATTCCCTGAAGGATGCCAGGTAACAAATGTAGAAGCAATTAGAAAAATCACCACTCAACACCTACTTCCAAGAGGCTTTAGCAATGGAACTAAGTGACTCAGTTCATAAAGAGCTGTTGGGGACAGGATGTTCACAAAACCTTGATGGGTCATCCTACAATGACTTAATAACAAAAGGTTAAGGTAGCTTTACCAGGAGACATCTGGCTACCATCAGCTTAACCAAAACTATCAAACAGCAACACCATTTGGGACAAAAAGCCATGTCTCTTGATGTGAAGCAATGAGAAAACACAGTATGGTCTTTTAACGTGAATCCACACACAAGAACGACACTCCACCTAAATGCTTACCAAAATACTTGGTTTAATCAAGGAAGCAGGGGAAAAAGTAAGCAAATGTATCTAGATTATGGGTTATTCTAAAAAAATCAGGAGCCCAGGAAACATTCATGAAATAATTTCAAATTAAAAGAGCACAAACAAAAATGACAACCACAAGCAAATATGATCTCTCAATAAATTCTTAAAGAATGTGTTGGGGACAACAAGGGCAAATTTGAACAAGGACAGTATATTAATCTAAATTTATACATCGAAATTAGATAATAAAATTGGATGATGTAGGGAAAATGTTCTTATTCATGAGATAAATGCTGAAGCACTGGAGTGAAATGTCATAAAATGTTGGTAACTTCCTTTAAAATGATTCAGAAAAGTACTTACAGAGAAAGAAATGCAAAGGTAATAAGATGCTGACAACTGGTAATGTACAGAAAGGAAAAACAGACAGCCATTTTCTGTGGGTGAGGGCAAATAAGAGGAAGAAGAAGTGGGAAAAAAACAGACATTGCTCATCAATTTGTATCTGGTTAAAAATAAGAGTTTAAAGAAAAACAAGGCTTAAATTTAATGTTAATATCCAATGAGATCAAGAGTAATTTTTAAATGTCCAATTTATGAAAAATCATCAAGACCAGAACATACCTGACTAGGATCCCTTGAAGGCAACTTAAAATCCTTTTCTGGAGAGTCCTGTCCTCCTAGATCTTCATATATCATTCCTGGAATTGCCAGCTGTTCAAAGTAAGCCTCCAAATGATCATCATAAAACTCTTCATCATTAATGTCATCATCTGTTGATAAAATGGAGCAAAATACAATGTACTTTAGAGTAGGAACTGAACTATACATAATTTTAACCAAAAGGCTATAAAACAAGTGGATGGTATGATTTTATTTTCACATTTGACATGAGAAAACTTATAATTCAGTCATTTATTAAGTCACTTATGAACACTTTTTAAATACAATATTTAACCTCCTTGAGAGAAAAGGATAAAAACAGATCCTGGCATATCACAGAAAGTTAGGTAGGATATGATACATGTGACATCACAAACCAGTGGGAAAAGAGTGTAATATTCTGAAAACAGTGTAGTAAGTGGTCAGTGCTACCAACAAAGGCTGGATAAGTCTATCACAGAAGTGAAGAAAAAGAGAGATGACACTGCTATGACTTAAGTTTGGCAAAGGTTAAGACAGAGAGTAACTCTCAACCACAGTAATAATATAAGGTGGCACCGCCTCTTTGTTTTACAGTACAGAAGTTTAAATTTAGGGATGCTCTACCACTGAGCTACAACCCCAGCCCTTTTTATTTATTTAATCTTTTTAATGTTTATTTTTTAGTTGTAGTTGCCAATACCTTTATTTTATTTATTTTATTTTTATGTTAGTGCTGAGGCTCATACCCAGGGCCTTGCACATGCTAGGCAAGCGCTCTACTGCTGAGCCACAACCCCAGCCCCTTTATTTTATTTTTTTATCTGGAGACAGGATCTCACCAAGTTGCCCAGGCTGAGCCTTCTGCTTCAGCCTCCCAGGTCACTGGAATTACAATGTGTACCACCACACCTGGCTTTGACTTAGCAATTTCATTACCTTTGACTTAGCAATTTCCCCTCTAAGCAGGCAGACTACTAAAAACAACGAAAGATCTGATAAATTCATATCATTAAGTCCTTATCCACAATTCTATTTTAACTCGTTTTACAGTGATCTTTGCCCTGAACTGTGCAATGTGTTTTTCCCACTCAGCTCACGGGCTTGCCTTTAGGCCCAATGCAGCCTCCCATGGGTGCTGTAAACCTGCCACACAAAGTCACTGCCTAGTTCCCACTCGTGCCCTGTGTGTTGTAGGGCAGAGCCTTGGCTAAAGCGGCTGCTCCTTCCTGAAACACACTTCTCCGCCACGGCCTCACCTGGGCCCATCTTTTTGCAGGGAGCTTCCTTGGTCAGAATTAACTCATCATCCCTAGGGTTCCGAAGCACATCTTGATAGTGTAGAAGGAGACCTCACACAATCTGAAGTGTGGCTGTGCAGCTCTTTCCTGCACTTGGCTGAGGTCTCTTAGAGAGCTAAGGCTAAATATTTTATTGTTCCCCATTTTCTTAACACAGTGTTTCACAATAAGTACCACCTTTAGGTAGATACTTTGAACCCTGATGTTGTTAAACTAAGGTATTAGGATAGATCATAAAAATTTTTTAAAATCCTATCACTCAATGGAAGTGCTGCTGGGTAGGAGAAAAAGAGAAAGGCAAAAATTCCCCAAATTGGGCATAATAATGATTGCAACAGTGGCATGGCAAGGTAAGGACTAGGAAAACAAAAGTTACTTCAGCAGTACCAGAAGAATCTTCCAAACTTGTCAGTGACATAAGTTTCTCATTTTCTAGTAAGATATGGCTGAAGTCATTGTTTGGAGTCCTGTATTCAAATTGTTTTCCAGCATCAGGCACAACAATCTAAAAGAAAGAATAAGGTGTGTAAGGGAGAAGCACATTGCTTTAAAGAGCACAGTATAAGTCTACAAAAGGGATCAAGTATTTCCTCAATCTATAATGTGCTCAGTATCTGAAATCAAAATTTAGTCAAAGAAATGAAAACTGTTTTACATGTATTGCGTGCCCTCACTCCATTCCCCACCTCCCACCACCGGTTCAGAAAGACACTCTTAAAATTTAAGGCATCTACCATATTGCTTCTACATGCTTAGAGAACCCACTTAGAGAACCCAGTAAGAAAGTCACTACAGAAATGCACAACTAAACCCTGAGCAGTGCGAGGCTTGCTTCATTGGTGAAGGTAACAGAAAGTTGGACAAGTAACCCTCACTGAAGTGACTGATCTCCGCTCCTCAACACAGGAACCACATAACCCTGAAGGTATACAGCAATTTACTACTCTAGGCCCAGAATGAAAATGTAACATTTCCCTCTAAGATTCGATTTTATTTTACACTATAATAGATAGCTACATAGATTGCAAAATATATACATTTTTATTATAAAAACATGAGATCTTAATGTAATTTTACAGAAACCAGTACAAAGCAAGTCATATAAATACCTAAGGCACTGCATAGTACCAGTGCTACCCTTGAACTTTCTTATTACTTGAGCTAAACTCCCATTTTTGCGGAAGCTGGGTCAACTGTAGTTATGCTGTACTATCAGAAGGTCCCTAGAGGTTAGAAGGGTAGTTAATCTTAACTAACACACTTATGAAACATGACTTTTGCTCTCCCATGACACTCCAGAAATCAATAACACATAAAAATTTACCTTGTCTTCCTGATTATTAATCCATGATTGTAAATGAAAATCAACAGATGAGTCTGTTAAGAAAACAAAAACCAAAACTGAGAGCACAAACTATTTTATCAACCAAATACCCATACACCTAAAAACAGCAAGTTAATGAACTCAATGTTTTTATCATGAAATAGAAGCTCTTTCAAACATGGCACAGGAATCCATCATTGGTCAAATTCTTAAGTTTGGGTGGAGAATCATAGAGGCATTCAGAACTTGAGTATGAATCTCAAGACTGCAACATGAACTTCTGCCTGTGGGTAGGTAGGGAGAGATGACAAAGAACCAGCCAAGTGCATAAGTCCAACCAGAGGGGCAAATTACATGTGACAGGCATTGCTTACTCCAGGTATGCACATTAGAGCTGTAATGAGTGCACCGTGACACAGTCATCTTCCTCACACCCCACTCAAGCAAAACAACTGCCATACTAGATGAACAACTGTCAGCTGTGTTAACAGCACTGTGGTCACATAAGAAAATAAACATACACTAAAATATATAGAAATGAAATGACATCTGGAATTTTGGAAAAAAGAGAGAGAGCTGGAGGTGTATCTCAGAAGTGAAGCCCTTGTCCACTATACATGAGGCCCTAAGTTTAAGTTTGACTCAGGAGAGAAACTGAAGATAAACGAATCAAGATTGACAAAATTTTATTTCAAACGAAACTTAGAGTATTTATATGGGAGGGTTTTATAAAATATATAATCTACATATTATAAAATTCACCCTCCTACTGCCTACAATTCAGTGGTTCTGGTATATTCACAAGACTGTACAGCCATCATCACTTTAACATTCCAGAATATTTTTTTCATTCCAAAAACACTAAACCTATTAGCAATCTCTCTCCCTCCATTCCTCTCTCTCCCAGCCCCAGATGACCATAAATCAATTTTCTATCTCTATGGAAGTGCCTATGGATAAATAGAAACATGTATTTTGTGGCCTTTTGTGTCTGATATTTTCAAGGTTCATCTATATTATAGCACATACCAGTATTTTGCTCCTTTTTATGAATTAGTAATACTCCATCATGTGAACTTAATACATTGAGTTTACCCTTTTACCACTCATAGATACTTGACAGTTTCTACTTTTAGTCTATTGTGAATAATACTGCTATGAACATTCATGCACAAGTTTTTGTGTGGGCATGTTTTTCCTTCTCTTGAGTGTGTGTGTAGAGTGGAAGTGCTGGGTAATGTGGTGTAATGTTTTAAGAAACTACCAAACTGTTTGCCATAGTGGCTGCACCATTTCCCATTTCCACCAGCAATACAGGAGGCTTCAATATCTCCACACTTTCACCAACGCTTGCTGGTTCCAGTCTTGGTTCACCATGTGAACTGGCACTGTGATTGCTGAACTACATTTTCCTCATGATAACGACATTAAGTATCTTTTCAGGTGTTACTGACCATTTGGAGAACTACTATAGAGAAATGTCTTTTCAAATCCTTTACCCTTTTGTCTTTTTAATGTTGAATTATTGGAGTTCTTCAGATATTCTGAATACTACTTCCTTTCAACATATTTGATTCACAAATATTTTCTCCCATTCGTTTTTTTTTTTTTTACTTTCTTGATAAATGTCTTTTGAAGCCTTAATTTTAAATTTTGATGAAGTCTAATTTATTTACTTCTTTTATTGCCTAGTATTCCACTTTAATACTATTTGCCATTCTTCATTATGAAAAACACAAATGAGGCTGGGTGTGGTGGCACACACCTTTAATCCCAGTGGCTCAGGAAGCAGAGGCAGGAGGATTGCAAGTACAAAGCCCGCCTCAGCAAAAGCAAGGCACTAATCAATTCAGTGAGACCCTATCTCTAAATAAAATACAAAAAAAAAAAGGGTGGTGGAGCTGGAGATGGGGCTCAGTGGTTGAGTGCCCCTGAGTTCAATCCTGGTACCCACCCCCACAAAAAAATTTAAAAAAAAGAAAGAAAAACACAAATGTCCATTAAAATTTTTTACTAAAACACATGAATGTGCATTCATTCATCAATTTTTTTAAGTATTTATTGTTTAGTTGTAGTTGGACACATTGCCTTTATTTTATTTATTTCTATGAGGTGCTGAGGAGTGAACCAAGTGCCTCACGCATGGTAGGCGAGCGCTCTACCACTGATCCACAAACCCCAGCCCTCATTCATCAATCTTAACTGATCAACCAAGGTCTTTGGGTATTGAACTACAGTTTAGAATCACATGTTATTGCTATATGACCCAAAAGCATGCAATTTTCCATTTCTAGTTTTGAAAAATAAAGAAAGAAATGTAGTTGGGTGCAGTGCTGCACACCTGAAATACCAGCAGCTCAGGAGGCTGAGGCAGGAGGATTGAGAGTTCAAAGCCAGCCTTAGCAACAGCAAGGCCCTAAGCAACTCAGTGAGACCCTGTCTCTAAATAAAATACAAAATACGGCTGAGGATGTGGCTCAATGGTTGAGTGCCCCCGAGTTCAATCCCTGGTACCCCCCCCGACAAAAAATTTAAAAATGCAGAATACATAAAAGAAATCAGAAGGCTGGAGACATAGCTCAGCACAGACCCTGGGTTCAATGGGGTTACAGTGGCAAAGCAGAACAAGATAAAAACCTGTAACTCTTTTTCCTAACAATTTTCCCCACATTCTTATAGTTTCCCCCCAATATCTAAGTTGGTAACATTCCCCTCACTCCTTGGACTAGGACTAAACACAGGAGTGCTCTAAACTGAGCTACATTCTTAATCCTTGATAATTTTTATCTTGAGACAGGGTCTCACTAAGTCACTGAGGCTGTTGTCTTCCTGCCTCACCTTCCCAAACTGCTGGGTGTGATCCACCATGGCCAGCTGGTAGCAGTTTTTTAAATGACTCACTTTTTAGTCTTTCCAAAGTATTCACCTTGATTTTCTTGGAAACAATAATTTCTTTTAGAGTTCATATTTCACCAGTTACATAAAAATAAGTTTAAGAACAAAAATGACTTGATGAGAGCAATTAATTGTTGGGACAAAAAGAGGTATGGTAGAAACAGGCTCCTTGTCTTGAACATAAAACATATTGTGGTCATCTGACAGCAAAGGAAAGAGGGTTTCAGCTTAATCAGTGAAGACAGTTATGAGATCAGTGAAGAGGCCATTCCCTATGAAAGTACTATAAATATTAGATTATTGAGAATATAACAAACCAAAACATTTTCAGTTTTTCACACAATAGCATAAGATAAATACCAGTCCAAAGAAAGGGAAATGAAAAAAGAAATTAAATGGTCTGCATTAAGAAATAACTTCTAACACTTCAGGACCTTGTACTTGCTCCAGTGGTGAAACCCGGTCCAAAAGATCCTGACCCTGAGAGGAAGCTGAAACTTTGGCCTCTTCCTCTTGTGCTCTTGGCATAGCAGTGTGAAAAGCTGACTGTTCCATGAGAGCATTGGACAAACGTGGACTTTCCATGTAGTTCTTTTTCCTAGAGACAGAACTTTTATTAGAGAACAGAATAAAGACAAAAATGTTAGTCACCTTGGGTAAATCTCTAAAATGTGTATTTACCAGTTACATATTTCACCTTTCAAAAAGAAAAAAAAAAAGATATAGACAATGAAAAGAAACATCTCTAAGTACGACTAGAACATGCAACTGGTAATACTGTTGTTACTCGAGGAACTGAATCAACAGACTGGGTCCAGAAACCAGTCTACCAAAACCAAGGGAGACATGGTACTGCTACTCTGTCTCTCAAGGGATAAAATTATATTTTTCTTCTTTCCTACACTAAATATTCCTGAAACTATTATGTCCTGAAAAACCTCAGCTTTCTAAAAACAAGAAAGGTTTAAAGAATACTGGTATAACTGCCAAAAGAGCTAAATCTCTGAATTAATAAAGATTTTAGAATTCTCCTTTTATCCATCCGCACCTACTGTTAGCCCTAACTTTCTACTTACCACTGCTTTTTTATATGTAAATGAAAATATTTTTCCTTAAGGACAATTTTCCTCTGAATCCAGTAAAAGACCTCGGTTCTGTAGCAGCTTACCAAAGCCAAACGGAAATGAAACTATAGGAAAAAGCCTCTTAGTGCAATAAATTCACCAACTGACAGAGATACCTAGAGCCAGACTTAAATTCAGTCCTGAAGGATGAAGAGAAAAATGATCTTTCCATATTTCCCTAACCTCTGTGGCAGAAGCAATTCTGCAACCTTAACTACAATTTATTTCCCAGTCTTTTCTGGGGCTACAGTAAAGGCCAATAGCTTAAGCCAAAAGTACACTCATAAGTAGGTACAGGAAAATGTCACCCTCAGTAAAAGTGGGCAAGGGCAGGCAGAAAGAGTATCTATGGACAGAAAGCCATTTGTCAGAGGACAGAAAGAAAAGGGGGAAAGATAGTGACATGAATAAATAAGAAACAAGTCGAGACATTCAGGTTAACTTCCATGTGTTAGAGTCCTCCCTTGAGAAAAGCATACAGTATGACCAAGAGACCATCAGAACTTTAGGTTAATAGAGAGTGAAGGATGGGGCATTCTAAACTCACCAACACCCCTGAAAACAAATCCTTCCCCAAACTACAGCCATCCTTTGTTTTCATTAGCCCATGAAAACTTTTCGGAATAAGTCATGAGCTTCAAGTCAAAGAAGCAAAAGCAACTTCCAGGAGTCCAATGAATAATGATAAGGAAATCTATAAAAGTTAAAGCAATCTGCATGAGATTCACCTCCTGTCCTAAGCCAGGCATACCCTAGGTTCTAGAACCTGAATGGTAGATGGGATGTGCAGGAGAAAAGAAGCCACAATGAGAACTATAATAAAAGGGCCCAGAAGCACAGGAAAAAACAAACCTGCCAGTGAGAACCGCAGAAATGTTTCATTACTACAGCTGGAATGAAGAAGGGCAGGAGAAAGTCTACCAGGCAGGCCAAACAAGCAAAATGG